AAGTTAAGCGAAGCTAAGCAAAGCTAAGCGAAGATAAGAGAAACAAAGCAAAGCTAACCAAAGCGAAGCGAAGCAAAGCGAAGCGAAGCAATGCGAAGCTAAGCGAAGCGAAGCAAAGCTAAGCGAAGCAAAGCGAAGCTAAGAGAAGCAAAGCGAAGCTATGCAAAGCGAAGCGAAGCTAAGCGAAGCGATGCGAAGCTAAGGGAAGCGATGCGAAGCGAAGCTATGCGAAGCGAAGCGAAGCTAAGCGAAGGGAAGCAAAGCTAAGGGAGGCGTTGCGAAGCGAAGCTAAGCGAAGCGAAGATAAGGGAAGCGAAGCGAAGCTAAGCAAAGCGAAGCAAAGCTAAAAGAATCAAAGCGAAGCAATGCAAAGCTAAGGGAAGCGAAGCAAAGCTAAGGGAAGCAAAGCGAAGCTAAGCGAAGCAAAGCTAAGTGAAGCAAAGCGAAGCTAAGTGAAGCGATGCAAAGCTAAGAGAAGCGAAGCTAAGCGAAGCTAAGCGAAGCGAAGCGAAGCAAAACAAAGCTAAGCAAAGCTAAGCGAAGCTAAGCGAAGCTAAGCGAAGCTAAGCGAAGCTAAGCGAAGCTAAGCGAAGCTAAGCGAAGCGAAGCAAAGCAAGGCGAAGCGAAGCGAAGCTAAGCGAAGCTAAGCGAAGCTAAGCAAAGCTAAGAGAAGCAAAGCGAAGCTAAGCGAAGCGAAACGAAGCAAAGCAAAGCGAACATAAGCGAAGCTAAGAAAAGTGAAGCTAAGAGATGCGAAGCAAAGCTAAGCGAAGCAAAGCAAAGCGAAGCGAAGCTAAGCGAAGCTAAGCTAAGCGAAGCTAAGCAAAGCGAAGCGAAGCTAAGCTGAGCGAAGCTAAGCAAAGCTAAGCGAAGCTAAGCGAATCGAAGCTCAGCAAAGCAAAGGGAAGCTAAGTGAAGCGAAGCTAAGCGAAGCAAAGCGAAGCGAAGCTAAGGGAAGGTAAGCGAAGCTAAGGGAAGCGAAGCTAAGCGAAGCTAAGCGAAGCTAAGCGAAGCGAAGCTAAGAGAAGCAAAGCAAAGCTAAGTGAAGCACAGCAAAGCAAAGAGAAGCTAAGCAAAGCAAAGCTAAGCGAAGTAAAGCCAAGCTAAGCGAAGATAAGCGAATCCAAGCGAAGCTAAGTGAAGCAAAGCGAAGCGAAGAGAAGCGAAGCGAAGCTAAGCTAAGTGAAGCGAAGTGAAGCAAAACTAAGAAAAGCAAAGAGAAACTAAGAAAACCTAAGCAAAACAAAGCAAAGCTAAGCGAAGCTAAACGAAGCTAAGCAAAGCGAAGCAAAGGTAGGTGAAGCTAAGCGAAGCGAAGCGAAGGGAAGCTAAGCAAAGCAAAGCAAAGCTATGCGAAGCGATGCGAAGCGAAGCTAAGCGAAGCGAAGCGAAGTTAAGCGAAGGGAAGCAAAGCTAAGGGAGGCGTAGCGAAGCAAATCTAAGCAAAGCGAAGCGAAGCAAAGCGAAGCGAAGCGAAGCGAATTTAAGCGAAGCAAAGCGAAGCTATGCGAAGCGAAGCGAAGCAAAGCAAAGCAAAGCGAAGCGAAGCGAAGCGAAGATAAGCGAAGCGAAGCGAAGCTAAGCAAAGCAAAGCAATGCAAAGCGAAGCAATGCAAAGCTAAGGGAAGCAAAGCAAAGCTAAGGGAAGCGAAGCGAAGCTAAGCGAAGCTATGAGAAGCAAAGGAAAGCGAAGCGAAGCGAATCGAAGCAAAGCAAAGCGAAGATAAGCAAAGCTAAAAGAAGCGAAGCAAAGAGAAGCGAAGCGAAGCTAAGCGAAGCAAAGCAAAGCGAAGCGAAGCTAAGCAAAGCGAAGCAAAGCTAAGCGGAGCGAAGCTTAGCTAAGCGGAGCGAAGCTAAGCAAAGCTAAGTGAAGCTAAGCAAAGCCAAGCTCAGCGAAGCGAAGGGAAGCTAAGCAAAGCGAAGCGAAGCAAAGTGAAGCGAAGCTAAGCGAAGCAAAGCTAAGTGAAGCGAAGCTAAGCGATGCAAAGCGAAGCGAAGCTAAGGGAAGGTAAGCGAAGCTAAGCGAAGCGAAGCTAAGCGAAGCAAAGCTAAGCGAAGCTAAGAGAAGCGAAGCAAAGCTAAGCGAAGCACAGCAAAGCAAAGCGAAGCTAAGCAAAGTGAAGCCAAGCTAAGCGAAGCTAAGCGAAGCAAAGCGAAGCGAAGCGAAGCGAAGCGAAGCGAAGCTAAGCTAAGCTAAGTGAAGCGAAGCGAAGCAAAGCTAAGAGAAGCGAAGAGAAACTAAGCGAACCTAAGCGAAACGAAGCAAAGCTAAGCGAAGCTAAACGAAGTTAAGCAATGCGAAGCAAAGCTAGGCGAAGCTAAGCGAAGCAAAGCGAAGCTAAACGAAGCGAAGCGAAGCAAAGCAAAGCGAAGCTAAGGGAAGTTAAGCAAAGCTAAGCGAAGCTATTCGAAGCTAAGCAAAGCTACGCAAACGAATTTTAGCGAAGCTAAGCGAAGATAAGAGAAACAAAGAAAAGCTAACCAAAGTGAAGCGAAGCAAAGAGAAGCGAAGTAAAGCGAAGCTAAGCGAAGTGAAGCAAAGCTAAGCGAAGCGAAGGGAAGCTAAGCAAAGCAAAGCGAAGCTATGCAAAGCGAAGCGAAGCGAAGCAAAGCGATGCGAAGCGAAGCTAAGCGAAGCGAAGCGAAGCTAAGCGAAGGGAAGCAAAGCTAAGGGAGGCGTAGCGAAGCAAAGCTAAGCGAAGCGAAGCGAGGATAAGCGAAGCGAAGCGAAGATAACTGAAGCGAAGCGAAGCTAAGCAAAGAGAAGCAAAGCAATGCAAAGCTAAGGGAAGCGAAGTGAAGCGAAGCGAAGCAAAGCTAAGTGAAGCGAAGCGAAACTAAGCGAAGCGATGCAAAGCTAAGAGAAGCGAAGCTAAGCGAAGCTAAGCGAAGCTAAGCGAAGTGAAGCAAAGCGAAGCGAAGCTAAGCGAAGCGAAGCAAAGCTAAGCGAAGCTAAGCGAAGCGAAGTGAAGTGAAGTTAATCTAAGCGAAGCGAAGCTAAGCGAAGCTAAGAGAAGCGAAACAAAGCAAAGCAAAGCGAAGCGAAGCTAAGCGGAGCAAAGCGAAGCTAAGCGGAGCAAAGCTAAGCTAAGCGGAGCGAAGCTAAGCAAAGCTAAGCGAAGCTAAGGGAAGCTAAGCGAAGCGAAGCTCTGCGAAGCGAAGGGAAGCTAAGCGAAGCAAAGCGAAGCGAAGCTAAGGGAAGGTAAGCGAAGCTAAGCGAAGCGAAGCAAAGCTAAGTGAAGCAAAGCAAAGCGAAGCTAAGGGAAGGTAAGCGAAGCTAAGCGAAGCGAAGCGAAGCTAAGCGAAGCTAAGAGAAGCGAAGGAAAGCTAAGCGAAGCACAGCGAAGCAAAGAGAAGCTAAGCAAAGCAAAGCGAAGCGAAGCAAAGCTAAGAGAAGCGAAGAGAAACTAAGCGAACCTAAGCGAAACAAAGCAAGGCTAAGCGAAGCTATACGAAGCTAAGCAAAGCGAAGCAAAGCTAGGCGAAGCAAAGCGAAGCTAAGCGAAGCAAAGCGAAGCTAAGGGAAGTTAAGCGAAGCTAATCGAAGCTAAGCGAAGCTAAGCAAACGAAGTTAAGCGAAGCTAAGCGAAGATAAGAGAAACAAAGCAAAGCTAACCAAAGCGAAGCGAAGCAAAGCGAAGCTAAGCGAAGCGCAGCAAAGCTAAGCGAAGCGAAGCGAAGCTAAGCAAAGCAAAGCGAAGCCATGCGAAGCGAAGCGAAGCGAAGCTAAGCGAAGCGATGCGAAGCGAAGCTAAGCGAAGCGAAGCGAAGCTAAGCGAAGGGAAGCAAAGCTATGGGAGGCGTAGCGAAGCAAAGCTAAGCAAAGTGAAGCAAAGCGAAGCGAAGATAAGCAAAGTGAAGCGAAGATAAGCGAAGCGAAACGAAGCTAAGCAAAGCGAAGCAATGCAAAGCTAAGTGAAGCGAATCAAAGCTAAGGGAAGCGAAGCGAAGCTAAGCTAAGCGAAGCAAAGCTAAGTGAAGCGAAGCGAAGCTAAGCGAAGCAATGCAAAGCTAAGAGAAGCGAAGCTAAGCGAATGGTAAGCGAAGCTAAGCGAAGCTTAGCGAAGCGAAGTGAAGCTAAGCGAAGCGAAACGAAGCAAAGCAAAGCGAAGATATGCGAAGCTACGAGAAGCAAAGCTAAGAGAAGCGAAGAAAAGCTAAGCGAAGCAAAGCAAAGCGAAGCGAAGCGAAGCAAAGCGAAGCGAAGCTAAGCAAAGCGAAGCGAAGCTACGCGGAGCGAAGCTAAGCAAAGCTAAGCAAAGCTAAGCGAAGCGAAGCTCAGCGAAGCGAAGGGAAGCTAAGCGAAGCAAAGCGAAGTGAAGCGAAGCAAAGCGAAGCGAAGCTAAGCGAAGCGAATCTAAGTGAAGCGAAGCTAAGCGAAGCAAAGCGAAGCGAAGCTAAGGGAAGGTAAGCGAAGCTAAGCGAAACGAAGCTAAGCGAAGCTAAGCGAAGCGAAGCTAAGCAAAGCTAAGAGAAGCGAAGCAAAGCTAAGCGAAGCACAGCGAAACAAAGAGAAGCTAAGCAAAGCGAAGCTAAGTGAATCAAAGCGAAGCTAAGCGAAGCAAATCGAAGCGAAGCGAAGCGAAGCGAAGCTAAGCGAAGTGAATCGAAGCTAAGCGAAGCGAATCGAAGCTAAGCAAAGCTAAGCGAAGCGAAGAAAAGCTATGCAAAGCGAATCGAAGCTAAGCAAAGCTAAGCGAAGCGAAGCGAAGCTATGCGAAGCGAAGTAAAGTGAAGTGATCACGAAGCTAAGCGAATTGAAGCGAAGCTAAGCGAGGCGAAGAGGGGCAAAGTGAAGCGAAGCGAAGCTAAGCAAAGCAAAGCAAAGCTAAGCTAAGCGAAGCTAAGCGAAGCGAAGCGAAGCGAAGCTCAGGGAAGCGAAGGTGTTAGGATTAAGGACAGAGTCTAGGTGAACTTAGGAGCTAGAATTACTCAAAATATAAATCCGAAATTCTGGACAGAAAAGTCGTCTTCACAAGAAACGACGTCGACAAAACACTAGCCGTTGGAATGTCGCGAAACTTGGATATGTTGTAGCTCTTAATCTCAGCTACCGTTCCCAATTTGAATCACGTTGATTGATGAAGTATTCGCGACGCTATGGCTTTCGACGCACTAGGGGGTAAGCTGTAGGAGGAGAACTTAACTCAATCTCAAGAGTTCAATCAAAGTTCAAGAATCTCACAAGGAATTAGAAGGAGCAAGAGAAAGGTTGGGATAGGAAGAGAGGGATGAGAGGGAAGGTCCCAAGAGAGTCCCCAACCAAGGAAACCCCATAAGCACAAAGATTCCCTCCCTATAGGAACCCCAACTTTGACATTTGTCCCTTCCCAACCAATCCATCCAAGTTGGCCACCCTTGCCAACCTAGCTTGGTTGTTCCCAACCAATTTGCAGCTGTTACAGTAGAGTGACAATTTCCCCAACCCCAAAGGTCCCAACTCCATATAAAGTCACCCCACAACTTCACTTTGTAACCGCCGCAATTGTAACGCAAGCTCATGAACTTTGAATCTTCATAGCTTTCGCGTTCTTGCTCCGATTGAAGGATTCTTGTTGCGTCGGAAAGATCTTCTCAAGATCTATCATCACAAATACCTGCTCAAACAAAATAACACAAAACACATTCCCAAACTCCAGAACACACCACACACAAATGCTTGCACATTCAAACCACACATGCAAGTTGAAAAACATGGGATGGGAGGCAGACAGAATGTGATAGCATATGATGACATCACACAACAATCTCCCCCTCTGGCTGCCAACCATCATCGACCATACCACATCTCAAGCATGCATACTCAATGCACACTCATCCCAGCAAGCTTCATGCCCTTCCAATGATCCGCCTCCGCCAGACGCTTGGTGAAAATATCTGCTGCCTGCTGATGGGTCTTCACTATCTCCAGCCGCACCTCCTTATCAAGGAGTCTCCTCACCCAATGCCACTTAGGCCTTATGTGTTTTGTCAGCCCATGCAGACAAGCATTCTTGGCGAGCTTCACAGCGGACTCATTGTCACAAAACACAACTGTCGGCTTCTCCTGACCAACTCCCAACTCCTCCAACAAACGCCTTAGCCACACTACTTCCTTGGCCCCATGGTGTAAGGCCATGTACTCAGTCTCACATGAGGACAATCCCACCTCATTCTGCTTCTTGCTGCGCCAGCTCACAGCACCACCTCCTAGCAAGCACACATAACCCCCAATGCTGGTGCCATCCGCTTTCACTGAGTTGAAGCTAGCGTCAGTATAGCAACTCAAGAGCATCTCTCCACTCTTCACATCTGCAGCACCTCTCTGCAACCGCTGCCTCACTCCACTGTACTCCAATCCCACTGATGCCGTAGCACTCACATAGCGGACCAACCTCTTGGCCGCTTCCAGCTGCTCATGACTAGGGCGTGAGACCACACTAGCCAATCGTGATGTAGCAAATGCAATGTCAGGCCGTGTATGATTTGCAGCATAATTCAGCGACCCAACCATCGAATGAAACAGCTTCCTGTCACTATCACCCACTACCTCCTCATCAGCACATGGCTCCACAGTAAACCCTGAAGGTAGTGGTGTTGCTGGCTTTCCCCCATCTTGCAGCCCATACTTCTCAGCCAGCCCCTCACAGTACTTCCTCTGGTGCAACCTCAGCACACCCTTTTCCACATCTCTCTCCACGTGCATCCCCAAGTAGTACTTCACCTCACCCATCTTGGAGCACTTGAACTGCATCTCCAGCATCTGCTCTGCGCTGTCCAGCAAAGCAGTGGATGCAGAAAAGAGAAGGATATCATCCACATACACCAAGAGCATGAGGATTTCATCCTTCTCCTGCAGCAGGAACAGGCTGGGGTCACACTCACTCTTCTTGAAACCCCCAGCCAACAGCGCCTCCTCCAACTTGTGATACCATGCACGAGGCGCCTGCTTAAGGCCATAGATGGCCTTCTTCAGCCTGCAGACCCTGCCGCTCCCGTCATCCAGCCCCTCTGGCTGCTTCATGTACACCTCCTCCATAATGATCCCATTCAGAAAGGCAGTCACAATATCCATCTGCCGAATCTTCCATCCCAGGAGTGCAGCTATCGCCAACAGCACCCTCAGTGTTGTTCCTTTCCCCACAGGAGCAAACACCTCATCATAGTCCTTCCCCTTTGTCTGCTGAAACCCCCGTGCCACAAGCCTAGACTTGTAGCGGGTCAGCTCCCCTTCAGGTCCATACTTGTGCCTGTAGATCATCTTGGAAGTGATTGCCTTCTTTCCAGGAGGCAAGTCACACAGGTCCCATGTCTCGTTCTCAATTAGGGACCCGAACTCCTCATCCTCACTCGCCTTCCACTTCTCCCCATTTGGTCCATTCAAGGCCTCTTCTCGAGTCTTGGGCTCAGGGATTGGTGCCCAGTAGCAGTGAGCGATCTCATCTTCCTCAATCTGCTCAACCACACTCCCAGCCTGCACCACATTCGGCTTGCCTCTTCCCCCATAGGTCAGCCTCACTGGAGGGCGCACATCCCTCCTAGGACGCTCAGGCGGGTGTGGAACTCGAGGTGGAGACTCATGCTGCTGCTGCTGCTGCTGCTCTACTTCAGCTGCTCCCCCTTCCTCAGTCACCCCAGACATCTCCTCCTCTGACACTGCAACCTCCACCTGTCTTGAAGGCTGCTGCACCTCATCTGCCTCCACAATGAGCGGTGTAGATGGAAGCTTCTGTTGCTGCTGCTTCCATTCCTTGTAGTACAGGGACTCAAGAAACTTCACATCCCTTGACACTGTCAACTTCTGGGTGGTCAAGTCCCATAGCAGCCACCCCTTGTGATCCTTTGCAATCCCCAAGTGCACACCCCATCTTCCAGAAGCCTCCAACTTCCCCCTTTTCTCCTTAGGCACATGAAACACCACCATGCACCCAAATGCCCTCAGCATGTTCACAGCTGGAGCACTCCCATACCACTTGACATATGGGATCCACTCCTTATCTCCAACTGTAGCCAGCACCCTGTTCTTCACAAGGGCGACCTGCCTCAGTGCAGACACCCAAAACGGATCAGGCAGCCCTGCACGCCCAAGGAGAGTGCGTGCCCCCTCCTGCAGGGTCCTGTTGAACCTCTCAGCCACGCCATTCTGCTGCGGGTTGTAGGGCACTGTCAGTTGATGCTGGATCCCCTTCCTCTTCAACTCCCCCTCAAAATCAGCTCCAATGAACTCCCCACCATTGTCACTACGGATCACCTTCACCTTGTGTCCGCATTCCCTCTGAGCTCTCGGCATCCACTCCTTAAGGACAGCCGCTGCCACCTCCCCCTTGCTCTTCAAAGGGTAAACCCACACTGCCCGAGTGTGGTCATCCACAATTGTCAAGAAATAGCGGCTGCCTGAGAGGGAAGGGGCTCTTGTGGGCCCCACCACATCCATGTGCACAAGTGCAAGTGGGGTCTTGGCTGGTCCTGTAGTGCTGTTGAAGGGGAACTTGGAGAACTTGGTCTCCAAGCATGTAGGGCAGCTCCCAATCTCCTTCACTCCCCCTTTCACCTCCAAGCCCTTCAGGCTCCCATCCTTCACCAACTTCTGCAGCATAGGGAAGTTCACATGACACAGCCTCTCATGCCATGTCTCCCAATCGGCCTCTCCACTCCTTGATGAAGCCTTAGCCCATGCCGCACTCGCATCCACACCAGCAAGCACCTCACCATGTGTCTGCTGCTTCTGCACTTTCTTGACTGCTTCCAGGACCCCATCAGTTGGTGCAGTTGCATCTCCTCCTGCTGTTGCCTTTGCCGCTGCTGCCGTTGCTGCTGTTGGAGTCTTCCCATTCCAAGGGATGATGGGCAGCTGCCACAGGTCCTTGATGCAGCTGGTCTCCTCTTCCAGACTCCACAGCACCTTCTTCCCAAGCTTAGCACGGCAGCTGGTTGGTCCAAAGGTCACTTCGGCCTTACTCTTCTGCAGTCGCCGCACAGAGAGAAGGTTAGCAGACAAGCCTTTAACCAGCAGAACATTCCCAAGCCCCACAAGCTCCCCATTAGCTCCCTTAACCTTGGCATTCCCAACACCAATCACGGGGAGCAAAGCACCTGACGCTGCTGCCACATACTTAATCTTCCCAGGGGGTTTTACCTCATCAAGCAAATCTGCCCGTGGGGTCATGTGACTGGTGCAACCCGAATCAATCACCCAGTGCGTGAGAGGGTGCATCACAACCTTTCCCACAGATCCCACATCACCCTCATGCCCATGCACATCCTCAACCATAAGAAACAAACCAGGATAGGCATTACCTTGTGCACCTTCACCTTGTGCACCTGAGCCTTGCACAGCGCCACCTTGTGCGCGTTCACCACTGGGCGGCTTCATGCCTGGAGGTGCCCATCCCTCCGGCCTGCTGAAGCACTTGAACCAAGGATGCCCACCTTCTTGCAGTACCAGCAGGTGCCCTCCATTCTGGTACTCCCCCTGCCACTAGAGCTCCCATGCCCCTCATTATAGTCACCTCGGCCTCTACCTCTGCCAAAGCTCCTCCCACGGCCTCGGCCTCTCCAACCCCCTCTTCCTCTGCCGCGCCCTGCAGCTCCATACCCCTCAGCAGTCTTAGTGGCAGCACCGCCTCCCACATGGCGTCTGCGGAAGTCCTCCTGCAGAATCTGCTGCCTTAGCCACTCAGGTGTCCATTGATCTTGCTGAGAGTTGAGGGTGGGGATGAGGTTGTCCCAAGAGTTGTCCAACACCGAGATGATCTTGGTGCACTGCTGCAGCTGAGATACACTGCTGCCCGCTGCTGCCATCCTTGCATAGGTGTCCTTGATCTTGTCAAGGACCGGCTTCACATCGTCCCCTGGTCGCATGGAGATGGCAGCAAGTTCCTTCTCGAGCACGATCACCATCAGGAGAGTGTTGGGCTGAATCACATCGCGTAGTAGTTTCCACGCCCTTGGACCCGAATCATCCGCTTCCACAAGATCCTTGATGTGCTCGAACATCTCCTTGTTGACCGATTGAAGGATGAGGTCGAAAAGCACCGCGCTTTTCTCAATCCACCGTTCACGTGCTTCGCCTTCTTCCGGCATCTTCTCTTCCCCAACAGCAATCTTCAGTAGCTTGTAGCGTTTGAAGGCACTCCTCATCCGTCCGCTCCATTCCTCATAGTTGGAGCCATCCAAAGCTTCAACTTTTGATGGCGGCGGCTCACTTGTCTTCTCAGCTACAGCTCCTCTTCCATTAGCATCTCCTCCTCTCTCATTCATCTTCTCCTTGAGAAATGACGAATTTCAGCTCCCCTTTGCTGTCCACACTCAGCTCCCTCGATATTTTCACAAGTGTCGGCGTCCACGAAATTTCGGCAGAGTTTCCCCTTAGCGGAAGACACATCCAACCTTTAGAACACCACTTAGGCACACCCACAGGCCATGGTGGGTCTAGAAGGGTCTTCACACTTCTGTAGACTCCTCTCAATGTCCTTAATATCGCTCTGATACCACTTGTTAGGATTAAGGACAGAGTCTAGGTGAACTTAGGAGCTAGAATTACTCAAAATATAAATCCGAAATTCTGGACAGAAAAGTCGTCTTCACAAGAAACGACGTCGACAAACAACTAGCCGTTGGAATGTCGCGAAACTTGGATATGTTGTAGCTCTTAATCTCAGCTACCGTTCCCAATTTGAATCACGTTGATTGATGAAGTATTCGCGACGCTATGGCTTTCGACGCACTAGGGGGTAAGCTGTAGGAGGAGAACTTAACTCAATCTCAAAGGTTCAATCAAAGTTCAAGAATCTCACAAGGAATTAGAAGGAGCAAGAGAAAGGTTGGGATAGGAAGAGAGGGATGAGAGGGAAGGTCCCAAGAGAGTCCCCAACCAAGGAAACCCCATAAGCACAAAGATTCCCTCCCTATAGGAACCCCAACTTTGACATTTGTCCCTTCCCAACCAATCCATCCAAGTTGGCCACCCTTGCCAACCTAGCTTGGTTGTTCCCAACCAATTTGCAGCTGTTACAGTAGAGTGACAATTTCCCCAACCCCAAAGGTCCCAACTCCATATAAGTCACCCCACAACTTCACTTTGTAACCGCCGCAATTGTAACGCAAGCTCATGAACTTTGAATCTTCATAGCTTTCGCGTTCTTGCTCCGATTGAAGCGATTCTTGTTGCGTCGGAAAGATCTTCTCAAGATCTATCATCACAAATACCTGCTCAAACAAAATAACACAAAACACATTCCCAAACTCCAGAACACACCACACACAAATGCTTGCACATTCAAACCACACATGCAAGTTGAAAAAACATGGGATGGGAGGCAGACAGAATGTGATAGCATATGATGACATCACACAACAAAGCGAAGCTAAGCGAAGCGAAGCTAAGCAAAGCTAAGCGAAGCTAAGCGAAGCAAAGCGAAGCATAAGCGAAGCTAAGCAAAGCTAAGCAAGCGAAGAGAAGCGAAGCGAAGCTAAGCGAAGCGAGTAAAGCGAAGGAAGCGAAGCAAAGCAAAGCTAAGCGAAGCAAAGCGAAGCTAAGCGAAGCTAAGCGAAGCTAAGAGAAGCGAAGCGAAACAAAGCTAAGCGAAGCGAAGCTAAACAAGCTAAGCGAAGCGAAGCGAAGCTAAGGGAAGCGGAGTGAAGCTAAGCAAAGCGAAGCGAAGCTAAGCGAAGTGAAGCAAATCTAAAGGGAGGAGTTGGGACCTTTGCTTCATAAGCTTGTGTTACAATTGCGGCGGTTACTAAGTGAAGTTGTGGGGTGACTCTATATGGAGTTGGGACCTTTGGGGTTGGGGAAATTTGTCACTCCACTGTAACAGCTGCAAATTGGTTGGGAACTACCAAGCTAGGTTGGCAAGGGTGGCCAACTTGGATGGATTGGTTGGGAAGGGACAAATGTCAAAGTTGGGGTTCCTATACGGGGGGAATCTTTGTGCTTATGGGGTTTCCTTGGTTGGGGACTCTCTTAGGACATTCCCTCTCATCCCTCTCTTCTATCCCAACCTTTCTCTTGCTCCTCTAATTCCTTGTGAGATTCTTGAACTTTGATTGAACTTTTCTCCCACCTACAGCTTACCCTCTAGTGCGTCGAAACACATAGCGTAGTGGATACTCCATCAAACGACGTAATTCAAATTGCGAACAGTAGCTAAGATTACAAGCTAAAACATATCCGATTTTCGCGACATTCCAACTTCTAGTTTTTTTATCAACGTGGTTTCTTGTGAAGACGACTTTTCTGTCCAGAATTTCGGATATATATTTTGAGTATTTCTAGCTCCTAAGTTCACCTAGACTCCGTCCTTAATTCTAACAAAGCGAAGCGAAGCTAAGCGAAGCTAAGAGAAGCTAAGCGAAGCTAATCAAAGCTAAGCGAAGCTAAGGGAAGCAAAGCGAAGCTAAGCCAAGCTAAGCCAAGCTAAGCGATGCTAAAGCGATGCGAAGGGAAGCTAAGCGAAGCTAAGCGAAGATAACCGAAGCGAAGCGAAGCTAAGAAGGCTAAGCAAAGCTAAGCTAAGCGAAGCGAAGCTAATCGAAGTGAAGCGAAGCTAAGAGAAGCGACGCGAAGCGAAGCGAAGCTAAGTGAAGCTAAGAGAAGCGAAGTGAAGCTAAGCGAAGTGAACACGAAGCTAATCGAAGCGAAGCGAAGCGAAGCCAAGCTAAGCAAAGCTAAGCGAAGCGAAGCGAAGCTAAGCAAAGCGAAGCAAAGCTAAGCAAAGCGAAGGGTAGCTAAGCCAAACTAAGCGAAAGGAAGCGAAGCTAAGCAAAGCAAAGCGAAGCTAAGTGAAGAGAAGCGAAGAGAAGCGGAGCGAAGCTAAGCAAAGCGAAGCAAAGCTAAGTGAAGCTAAGAGAAGCGAAGCGAAGCTAAGCTTAGCGAAGCGAAGCGAAGCCAAGCAAAGCGAAGCGAAGCCAAGCCAAGCGAAGCAAAGCTAAGCAGAGCGAAGCTAAGCGAAGCGATGCGAAGCTAAGCGAAGCTAAGCAAAGCGATCACGAAGCTAAGCGAAGGAAGAAATGCTAAGCAAAGCGAAGCGGGGCAAAGTGAAGCGAAGCGAAGCGAAGAGAAGCGAAGAGAAGCAAAGCGAAGCGAAGCGAAGCGAAGCTAAGGGAAGTGATGCGAAGCTAAGTGAAGCGAAGCGAAGCGAAGCTATGCGAAGCGAACACGAACCTAATCGTAGCGAATTGAAGCAAAGCTAAGTGAAGCAAACGCGAAGCTAAGCAAAGCGAAGCAAAGCTAATCGAAGCGAGGCGAAGCTAAGCTAAGCGAAGCGAAGCAAAGCTAAGGGAAGCGAAGCGAAGCTAAGTGAAGCTAAGCGAGGCTAAGCGAATCGAAGCGAAGCTAAGAGAAGCGAAGCGAAGCTAAGCGAAGCGAAGAGAAGCGAAGCTAAGTGAAGCGAAGACGAAGCTAATCAAAGCGAAGCGAAGCTAAGCGAAGCAAACGCGAAGCTAAGCGAAGCGAAGCAAAGCTCATCGAAGCGAAGCGAAGCTAATCGAAGCGAAGCGAATCTAAGAAAAGCGAAGCGAAGCTCAGCGAAGCGAAGCAAAGCTAAGCAAAGCTAAGCGAAGCAAAACGAAGCGAAGCAAAGCTAAGCGAAGCTAAGCGAAGCGAAGAGAACACGAAGCTTTGCGAAACGCGCACGAAGGTAAGCGAAGCGAAGCGAAGCGAAGCTAAGAGAAGCAAAGCGAAGCTAAGCGAAGCTAAGCGAAGTCAAGAGAAGCGAAGAGAAGCTAAGGGAAGCAAAGCGAAGCTAAGCAAAGCGAAGCGAAGCGAAGCTAAGAGAAGCAAAGCTAAGCAAAGCTAAGCAAAGCGAAGCGAAGTTAAGCCAAGCGAAACAAAGCTAAGCCAAGCTAAACGAAGCTAAGCGAAGTTTAGAGAAGCAAAGCGAGGCTAAGTGAAGCGAAGCGAAGCTAAGCGAAGCGATGCTAAGCAAAGCCAAGCGAAGCTAAGGGAAGCGATGTGACGTGAAGCAAAGCAAAGCGAAGTGAAGCGAAGCAAAGCTGAGCGAAGCTAAGCGAAGCGAAGCGAAGCAAAGCAAAGCGAAGCGAACCTAAGCGAAGCGCAGCAAAGCGAAGCAAAGCAAAGCAAAGCGAAGCGAAGCGAAGCAAAGCGAAGCGAAGTGAAACGAAGCAAAGCTAAGAGAAGCAAAGCGAATCTAAGCGAAGCGAAGCAAAGCTAAACGAAGCTAAGCAAAGCAAAGCGAAGCTAAGCGTAGCTAAGTGAAGCGAAGCAAAGCAAAGCTAAGCGAAGCAAAGCAAAGCAAAGCGAAGCGAAGCAAAGCTACGGGAAGCAAAGCAAAGCAAAGCGAAGCAAAGAGAAGAAAAGCAAAGCTAAGCGAAGCTAAGCGAAGCAAAGCTAAGCGAAGCAAAGCAAAGCTAAGCGATGCAAAGCAAAGCAAAGAGAAGCAAAGCGAAGCTAAGCGAAGCTAAACGAAGCTAAGCGAAGCAAAGCAAAGCTAAGCGAAGCAATGTGAAGCGAAGCAAAGCTAAGCGAAGCGAAGCTAAGCCAAGCGAAGCGAAGCTTAGCGATGCAAAGCGAAGCTAACCGAAGCGAAGCGAAGCTAAGCGAAGCGAAGTGAAGCTAAGCGAAGCGAAGCTAAGGGAAGCTAAGCGAAGCAAAGCTAAGCGAAGCGAAGCGAAGCTAAGCAAAGCGAAGCGAAGCTAAGCGAAGCGAAGCAAAGCTAAGCGAAGCGATGTGAACCTAAGCGAAGCGAAGGTAAGCGAAGCTAAGCAAAGCTAAGCTAAGCAAAGCAATGCTAAGCGGAGCGAAGCGAATCGAAGCAAATCAAAGCGAAGCGAAGCTAAGCGAAGCAAAGCTATGCGAAGTTAAGCGAAGCGAAGCTAAGCGAAGCTAAGCGAAGCGAAGCTAAGCAAAACGAAGCGAAGCAAAGCGAAGCTAAGCGAAGCGAAGCAAAGCTAAGCGAAGCTAAGCAAATCGAAGCGAAGCTAAGCGAAGCGAAGCGAAGCTAAGCTCAGTGAAGTGAAGCGAAACAAAGCTAAGCGATGCGAAGTGAAGCTAAGGGAACTTAAGCGATGCAAAGCAAAGCTAAGCGAAGCTAAACGAAGCTAAGCAAAGCAAAGCAAAGCTAAGCAAAGTGAAGCGAAGCTATGCAAAGCGAAGTAAAGTGAAGCTAAGCGAAGCCATCACGAAGCTAAGCTAAGCGAAGCGAAACAAAGCTAAGCGAAGCTAAGCGAAGCAAAGCGAATCAATGCTAAGTGAAGCGATGCGAAGCTAAGCGAAGCGAAGCGAAGCGAAGCTAAGCTAAGCGAAGACGAAGCTAATCAAAGCGAAGCAAAGCTAAGCGAAGCGAAGCAAAGCTAAGCGGAGCGAAACAAAGTGAAGCTAAGCGAAGCGAAGCTCAGCGAAGCGAAGGGAAGCTAAGCGAAGCTAAGAGAAGCGAAGCAAAGAAAAGCGAAGCGAGTTGAAACTAAGCGAAGCGAAGCAAAGCGAAGCTAAGCGAAGCAAAGCAAAGCGAAGCTAAGGGAAGTTAAGCGAAGCTAAGCAAAGCTAAGCGAAGATAAGAGAAACAAAGCAAAGCTAACCAAAGCGAAGCGAAGCAAAGCGAAGCGAAGCAATGCGAAGCTAAGCGAAGCGAAGCAAAGCTAAGCGAAGCAAAGCGAAGCTAAGAGAAGCAAAGCGAAGCTATGCAAAGCGAAGCGAAGCTAAGCGAAGCGATGCGAAGCTAAGGGAAGCGATGCGAAGCGAAGCTATGCGAAGCGAAGCGAAGCTAAGCGAAGGGAAGCAAAGCTAAGGGAGGCGTTGCGAAGCGAAGCTAAGCGAAGCGAAGATAAGGGAAGCGAA